CGCAGGCTCTTTAGGAATGGCGGTGCCGTGGACTGCGGTGACGAGTCCGAGAATTTGCAGTCCACTCTGTGAGTAGCGGGGAAGATTTGCGTCCTCGGGATAAGCTGCTTCATCTCCCGCTTCTGGATCAGGTATGAAGTTGGGTCCTACTCGTTCTGCTTCGTTGGTGTTGAATGTCGCAGGTGTTACGTAACCGTTGTCGGCGAAATAGTAGAAGGTTTCGGCGTTGACACTTTCGCGAGGGTTATCTTCGTCCATGGGAACGTCGACGGAGCAGAACGGAAGAGGTCCGGCTTCTTCTGATGCGTTGTCCACATTCTGCTCGTCCCAGTCAGCTTCGTCCGCTGCTGGGGCGAAGGCTCAGTCACCGCGAAAACCACCTGTGGGATCCTGGTCTTCTTGCAGGTTGGCAAGGTATGTCTGGAGCGTGAGTCGTCCGTAGAAAATTACATCACGTGCTGCTACTGTTTCCTTGGAATGGACGTCGAAGATTTTCCACGCGTTGTAGTTCTTTTCGATTCCCAGGTGTAGTCCCCACTGTGCTCGTTGAGAAAATTGGCCCGCTCGTGCTGCTGGGGGTCGGTACTGTACCATGCATCCGAATACTCGTAACATTTTTGTGCTGCCCTGTTTCCCTGTCCATAGCAGATGCGGTGATGCGTTGTTTGGAAGCGATGATGACGAGAGCAAGTTGTGCAGCATGACGGCGTGGTCCATTGCCGCAGGCCACTGGTGGTTGGGTAGCCGCATGCCACGTAACAGTTTGCGCATGCTGTTCTGCAAGGTCCTGTTCATTCTTTCTGCTACACCTTGCTGCTGATGGGCGTAGGGAAGGGAGATGAGCCGCTTGATTCCCCTTTCCGCCAGGTACTGCTTGAATCGCTGAGAGGTGTATTCTCCTCCTCCGTCTGACTGGAAGCTTTTCAGTTTCACGCCCGATTCTCTCTCTGCTACTGGTAGCCAGGCAACGAAGGCTGCGAATGCCATGTCGCGGCTAGGGAGGTTTAGGTGCCAGACGTAACGGGTGGCGGCGTCGATGAAGGTGATTGTATAGTTGTATATTACTTGTCCTAGTTCCCGATTGTACAGGATGTCGCTATACACCTTCTCGAGTGGTGCGTACGCGGGTGCGCTCGGGTTGTGATGAGACGCAAACGGGCGATGTGGTAAGTCACCTTCAGGGCAGGTGAAGCACGTTCCGCGTACTCGTTGAAGTTCTCGTCCGTCGGTCAGTAGGAGTGAGTCCTTGTCGAGTACTCCTGCTCTTATCGTATTGTTTAATACTGTGTTGCTTGGGTGTCCCATCCTTGCGTGCCAGGTGCTTTCGTCGGCGCGATGTCCGGGTGATCGTCGGTACATATCGGAGTTGGAGTAGAAGTTGGCGGTGAAGTTGGCGCTACGATGAACTTCTCGTGGTGCTGGGTGTAGTTGTTGCGCGGGTGTCGGTGGTGTGTCGTCGATGAGGAGCGGTGTCGTTGAAGGACCAGCAATTGGTGTTGACGTTCCTGCTGCTGCCGTTGATGGTTCTGCTACTGCCGATGTTGTCTCTGCTGCTGCCGATGTTGTCTCTGCTGCTGCCGATGTTGTCTCTGCTGCTGCCGATGTTGTCTCTGCTGCTGCTGATGTTGTCTGAATTGTTGCTAACGCCCTTGTTCTTTCTGCTTCAGGGATGGTGTGTGAATACCAGAAGCCTTCTGGACTGAAGTCTGGATCAAGGTCTGGAGGGTGTGTCCAGTTGGTGAAGTTAACGATGGCGTTGCTGTCGGCGGTGCCAAGATCAGGAACGAAATCAAGAACGAAGACGTTGTTCTTGAGGATCGCCTTGCCGATGTAGAGTCCTCCTCTCCCGTGATACAGCTTGAATTCTTGGGTGGTGCTGTCTGCTTCGAGGTGAATCCCTTTCGCCATTAGCTGACTGACGCTCAGTAAGTTGTAGCCGAGTCCCTCCATGATTAGTACTTTTGACATCTGCAGTATAACGTTTGTTTCCCTTGACTGAAGTTGAACTACGCCTTGTCGTTGTGTTCGCAGGTTCTGATTGTTGGCGACTGTAATGACAACTTCGCGTTGAAGTTGGTGTTCTCGTTGAACGAAGCGTCCCGAGGAGCACATGTGCTGTCCGCAGCAACTGTCCAAGAACCATGTGTCCTTTCCGGATGGTTCGCTTTGGGCGATGGCGGCGTATGTCGGGTTCGGCTGAAGTGACTCGCTTTGGGCGATGGCGGCGTATGGCGTGTGGTTTCGTCGAGTTGTTCTTCCGGTGAGTAGTGTGGTGGTGACTCGGTGATGCAGGAGTCACTCAGCTTTGCCATGCAGCTGACGATGTTTCTTGCTCCTTGTGCAGGTTGTCCCGTTGAAGTCGTTGAGGCTTGAATCTGGGTCGTGGGATTTGCTTGCGTTGAGGCGATTTGGCTGCTTGAAGGTCGAAGTTGCCGCTGTGGAGTTGTTGACTGTTGACGATTTGGGCAGTGCGTACGCGGGTGTCCTGAAGTTTTGCAGATGTGGCAGAACGGAGGTACTGGCTTCGGTTGTTGCTGCCGGCTGTTGTTGTTGTTGTAGCGTCGCTGAGTGTGGAACGCGAATTCCGGTGCTGATGTCTTCTTTTTGTGTCGTTCTTCTTGCAGGTCCATGTCTTGCTGCTCGGCGTGGATTTCGGCGCAGAGCGCTGCTTCGGAGATTCTTCCGTGAGCTCGAAGAATGGCCTTTGTGGCGCGCCATTGAGGACCGAGGCCGACGAAGGCGTCTTCAGAGATCGACCCTCCGCATCGAAGAAGCTTGTCGCGCAACTCGCGACATCGACTGATATACGCCATTCCTTTCTCCCCTGGTTTCATTTCAACCGTTGTCAGTTGCGCCATTAACCGACTTTGGCTTACGCTGTCTGTTGCTTGATACAGGCTCTTCAGGTGGTTGTACGCGAGCTCCGCGGAGTTGCCGTAACCTCGGTAAGACCTTATGTTCTGCTGTTGAGTCGGGGTGATATTCCTCAGTAGGATCGTGTACGCCATCATTGACTGATAGGTGTACTGCTGCTTCTCGTACTGTGTGCCGTTTGTTGGGTATGGCAGAGACCCGTCGAAGAACCCGAGTATCTGCGCGCCTTCCATCATCAGCTCGAACTCGAACGACCAGGTGAAGAAGTCCTTTCCATCGAAGGGTCTTGACGTCTGCATCTTCAGAACGTGTGCGAACTGCGACTGAACTTGTAATGCGTCCAGTGATTTTTTTTGTCCAGGTGAAGGCTGTGGGTGTGGCATAAGGCTGATAGACCCGCGCTCGTACGGAGCAAAGGTAGGCTGCTGTTGTTGATTTCCTCGTGCATATGATGAGCCGTCGAGACTCATGGGTGTTGCTCCGTTGTTGTTGCTGTTGTGTGACTGCGCAGGTGCCGATTGCTGGTGTTGCTCGTAGAAGGACATGAAGGAGAAAAACTTCTCCATCATGCTCTGGTCGAAGTCTGCAGGTTGATTCGCGGGAGTCTCGGTAGATGTTGCTCTGGGTCTTGTTGCTGTGCCCTCCTCTGTCTGTAGGCCAGAGGCAGGAGGTGGAGTAGGAGTAGTGCCCTGGGAGCCGTTGGAGTTGCTCCTTTCCTTTTGTGTAGCCATGCTTGTTGATGTTGTCGGTATAGAAGTTGAATTCCCCCTGATAGCTCTCATACCATATTGGGCTGAAAAACCCTTAGGATCTTTGCAGGGGTGAACTCTGGGTAGAGTTGGTGTAGTAGCCGAAGCGTTAATTAAAGAGTTGTGAACCACCTTGCGCTAGTATGTGAGGGCAAAGTAAGTTGACTAAAACAAAGAGATACAAGCTTTTATAAGAGTACAAGGAATACGAAGAGATACAGTTAATAACCGTTTTACTATTGCTGTTGCGGTTCGATACAGTGACGACTCGGGCAACTGCTCAATACCGAGTCAGTTGTTTGTCCTTGCTGTCGCGCTGTACTTTGTCAGGTCAAAGGTCGCTGACCTTTGACTTTCGCGTAACCTCCAACAGTTACTTTCAACCTCCGAGGGTTGACTCGCCGGTGATTCGTTATACTTCGTTTCTTTTGTGTCTTAGTGTTTCGACACGACAGAGGCGCTTAGGACCGATTGTTTCCAACACTCCTTAAGGTGGGGGGTAGTGTAAGGAAAATTCCTTTTCCTTACTTCGCATCCCTGCTCAACGCGTACATCACTGTAGCACCACAGTCAGCACCGTTACCACTCGCAACCCTCGCATCGACAATCTGCCCGCCACCTTCGCACATCGCACCCCGACCTCACGGCTCGGCGGGTAACCCGCGCTCCGGGCCTCCGCTTCGACACTTTTTCCCAACCTCAGTCCCAGGCCCGTCGCGCGACAACCACAGTCCATTACCGTTACCACTGTAGTTTCGCTATATATTCTTCGCTCATGCCTTCGCTCATTGTACTCTTGCTTCGATAGTGCAATTCTCGTTCGTTCACTCAATTGCACTCGTAAGAGGAATCAAATGACGGTTCACACAAACCTGATGGTTATAAATCAGGCCCACTATTCACCGCAAATCCTTGGTCACATTGCTTGCGCATTCCACTGACTTGATCGCGTTCCTCCTAGCGCATTCTGCAAGACCGTTGAACTCCCACTGAGAGCGTTCAAACTTCGTCTACAGCACCTGCAAGGGCAGCCATGAAATCGTCTCTTCCACCGCCTCTGTGCCATATCCTCGTGCTATATAATAGATTCACTACTCGTCGTGGCCCACGAGCTATACCATATCAGCGACCACTAGTGTCTTGTACCATCACAACGGCTGGCAACATCAATCCGAACCAGCTTCCTGACATTGCGCTACTGCCCATGCCTCACGCGAGTCACCTGGGAGTGCCGCAGCATTCTGCAGCAGAAAATCACCAAGTGACGCGGCACAATAGAAATCCAGCTGACACAAGAGTTACCCACGGATGTGGCACAATTTCTACCAGCATCATACGCAGCCCAAGATTACCTAGCTGACACGGCGACTGACCTCCATGGCCACTTCTCCTGCCGCGCTGCTTCTGCTCGTCCTTGCCATCATCTGCGGTGAGGCGTTTCTTTCTCGTTGTCGTTCCCAAGGGGTCTTGAATTCGGCTGCGTTTTTTTTTTTTTTTTTTTTTTTTTTGTTCACATTTTAAAAAGTCTTGCATGCTGTGTCACCTTCCTCTCACCCCTCTGCTCCCTCTCACGCAGCGGCAGGCGAGCACACAGATTGCCTGAATGCGGGCACGCGAGAGGCCGGCGCGGGAAGCGTGAAGAATGCAGGCATGCAGGCGAGGAGTCTCAAAAATGAGAGCATGGCGAGAGGCAGGAACGCGAGCATGCATGCGGGGGTGGCCGTGGGGAGCGACAACACGGGTAGGATAGTGGAGGTGAGGGTGCAGGTGAAGACACAGATCAAGGTGTCAGTCGTCAGCCTTCCTGTCAGCTTCGACGCCCTCCGCTGCTTCACCCTCCCCAATGCGGCGACCAAGGCGCTCAAGGCGACGCGGGACATGCAGGTGTGGTGGCACGGGTTCCCAGGTGGCAGGTCCAAGGCGAGTGTAGGTGGCAGCAAGGGCGGTAGTGGAGGTGGTTTGGGTGGGAAGGTTGCGGGCATGGTGGGGCCGGCAGGTGCGGCGTGCAAGCAGGTGCAGTTCTTTGCTAACCCCGCCTGCAAGGGCAAGGCGCTGGATGAGGCTCTGCAGCTGCGATACGCTGGCCTGCGCAAATTCTTCAATGTCCCCAGGTGGGTCGTGGGGGCACGTAGGGGCGGTGTGCCCAGGCGGGTGGGTCGTGGGGGCACGTGGGGGGGGTGGTGTGCCCAGGTAAGTGAGTAATTGTCCTCTGCAACTGTCGTGAGCCACTGTCGTGTGCCACTGTTGTAAGCCATTGCGTGAGCCACTGTCGTCAGCCATTGTCGTGAGCCACTTTCGTTCTCAACGCCTGATCCGATTGTGCTCCGCACATTCTTGCAGTGAAAAGAAGATCTCCCAATGGGCTTCTGTTTCCTGCAAGCTTGGCGCGTTCCTTGCCTCCTTTCGTGCTTCCAGTCACCTTTCCACACTGCCTCCGTACCACACAAATCTCCTACATTTCCCAGTCACCTTCCCAGACACCGTACCACACACATCTCTTGCATTTCCTCCATACATACCAAGTATTGCATGTTTAGCATGAAAGAGTGTCTGCCAAGAATATGCTTACACCGGCCGTGCTGAGAACACAAGAGTGCGCTGCACATACAAACCTCTCCTTCCCTATAAGGCAGACGTGAACTGTCTGCGTGCCACGTGTCCAACCAATTGCACATGTATCCCAACGAGTGACAACAAGGGCATCACATGTGCATGCCACCAGGGCTTTGCTTCTGTCAATGGCACCTGCCTAGGTACGCTGCCAGTGATGCTACAGGCACTAGCTCTTGCTAGGGTATGCTGCTACTGATATCATTCATCTCTTCTCTTATCTCATGCGCTTTTTGCCATCGTCGCCTGGACCTGCCCACGTTATTTGAGGATGATATGAGGCCAAGCCAATGTAAAAGGTTGTTGCTAGGCATCTTGAATCTTGAAATCCGTTGCAACACAGTTCTTCCTTTGTTGCTTGCTTGTAGTGTTTTGTTACTGCTGATTGTTAGCTCGACATTCCCAAACTCATCTCAGCTCGACATACCTTCCCCTTTTCTCTTGTCGCCTGCGTCTCAGGCAAATGCGCTTTGATAGAGTGTGGCGCCAACGCTACGCGCAGCGCAAGTAAGACATGGAATGCAACTTGTTCGTGTGACACGTGCTTTGAAACGCTTGCCAATGGCACTTGTGCTGGTGAGGCGTGGTGCGTCAAAACCCAAAACCTGGCTTCCAGTGTTTTGTTCTTGTTGCCTCGGTTTCCTTTTCCCAAAATGTTTTTCTATAGAACGTTTCTCATGCTGCTTCCGTGTAGTGCTTGTTGCTGTTGGCTCAATTCTTCCTTTGTTGCTTGCTTGCAGTGTTTTGTTACTGCTGATTGTTATTCTCATTCCCAAACTCATCTCAGCTCGACATACCTTCCCTTTTCTCTTATCGCCTACATCACAAACAAATGCGCTTTGATAGAGTGTGGCGCCAACGCTACGTGCAGCGCAAATAAGACATGGAATGCAACTTGTTTGTGTGGCACGTGCTTTGAAATGCTTGCCAATGGCACTTGTGCTGGTGAGGCGTGGTGCATCAAAACCCAAAACCTGGGTTCCAGTGTTTTGTTTTTGTTGCCTCGGTTTCCTTTTCCCAAAATGTTTTTCTATATAACGTTTCTCATGCTGCTTCCGTGTAGTGTTTGTTGCTGTTGGCTCATTTTTGCGATCCCAAGCTCAACTCAGCTCAACCAAGCAAACATTTTTCTTTTCGCTTGCGTCACAGGCAAGTGCTCTTTGATAGAGTGTGGCGCCAACTCCACGTGTAGCACGGATAAGACAGGGAAGGCAACCTGTTCGTGTGACTCGCGCTTCGAAATGCTTGCCAATGGCACTTGTGCTGGTGCGGCGTGGTGCTTCGAAAACCAAAACCTGGCTTCCAGTATTTTGTTCTTGTTGTTTCTCATGCTGCTTCCATGCGATGTTTGTTGCCATTGAATCATTTTCCCGTTTCCAACCTAACTCGGCGTAAACACACCTATTCGCTTGCTGCTTGTGTCACAGGCAAATGCTCTTTGATATAGTGTGGCGCCAACGCCACGTGTAGCACGGATGAGACAGGGAAGGCAACCTGTTCGTGTGACACAGGCTTTGAAAGGTGTCTCAATGGCACTTGTGCTGGTGAGACGTGGTTCTTCGAAACCCAAAACCTGGCTTACAGTCTGTCGTTCTTGTTGCCTCGGTTTTCCGTTCCCAAAATGTACCCCATTAGAACGTTTCTCATGCTGCTTTCGTACAGTGTTTGTTGCCGTTGAATCATTTTCCCGTTTCCAAACCTAACTCAGCGTAAACACTCCTCTTCTCTTGTTGTGTCACAGGCAAATGCACTTTGATCAAGTGTGGCGCCAACGCCACGTACAGCACAGATAAGACAGAAAATGCAACATGTTCGTGTGATACGGGCTTCGAAATGCTTGCCAATGGCACTTAAACTGGTGAGGCTTCTTATTCTAAACTCTTTGACGTGCCCCTGTGACCAAAGGTGCACTTGTGATCAAAGGTGCACTTGTATCAAAGGTGCACTTTCAGTTTCGTTCGCTCCTACGCTCTTCATTCCTGTTCCCAACCTCTTGGCCCATCATGGTATGGTGTGATGGTTCTGCATGGTGTGATGGTTCCGCATGTTGTGATGGGTCTGCAGCTTGGAAGCATGGGGTGCAATTGTAGCAAGTGTTGCTTGACACCAATTTGTAAGTTCCATGCATTACCCACCCTTACCCATCTTCATTAAGGTGGATGTTGATTAGCAATGTCCTGTCACCCCGGTGCCTGCATGTACTGCCTCTCTCACACTCGTGGTGCGGCATCTGCCCCCCTGGAGCCACCTACAAGACCGCAAGTTTTAAGAGTGCTTCCAATGTTCCATACTGCGTGTGTCAGGATGGCGATGGCATGACGCCAGATGCTTGCATCAAAGGTGAGTTACCACCCTTCTGAAACTTCATGAGACACATTGTCTGACTGCTCTGCCTTATTGCATATGCCTTATTGCCATGTTGCATATGCCTTATTGCCTTGTTGCATATGCCTTGCCTTTGCCTTCTTGGATGTGTCTTATCGCCTTTGCCTGATTGCATGTTCTCTGATGCCTATTGGACGACTCGATTAATGTTCCTTATGAGAGAATCTGTATGGGGTGGCTTGAGTCCACTGCCACCCATGCAACATTGGTCGCAGCAGCAGCATCAGCAGGACAGCATCCACACTTCACTTCTCCGCTTTCTTACTTAAGGCCAGCCACTTAGGGGAAGTGCATTTACAGCCCACTCATTACTTTACTTCCCACTCCACTTGTGCCCCCGCTTGTCGCTCCACTTGCACCTCACATTCCCAGGTGGCAAGTCCACAGTGGGAGCAGCGAGTGTGACGCTCATCCAGAACGAGAATGCAGTAAGCAACGCATCTCGGCCGTACATCGTGCGCGCCAACCTCAATGGGTGCACACAGCTTCCCAAGCATCTGGATGCCAACTACACGATACGATACGGCGTGTACAACATGAACGGCGCGTTGCGCTGCAACACCTACTCTTTCTGGAGGGGCGACAATTGCACAGGCGCTACCAACCACTCCATACCATACAGTTGTTGTATAGTGAGTGGCCCAAATCGTTCAGCTACAGCAGCAATGCCCAAATATCCATTCACACTTGCCACCATTTTTTCCTCATTCTCTGATGCCTCTTTAATGTGCACCAATCGTCTTTTCACCTTTTCTTTCCCTCTCCCCATTCCCTTTTCACCCCTGTTGCACGAATTGTCAGTACCACGGTACCTGATATCAAGTTCATCTGTTGCTGGGAGTAGCTGCAGATCCAGGACGGCTGGACTACTAGAGAATTGCTGTGGAATAATAATACTGTCATCGCCAGAATAGAAGACAGTTGCCCTATTTTGGGGTAAATTGAAGGGGACATATGTGCCAAAAGACATGTCTTATAAATTGATTTGGGTTTGGAATATGGTACGTTTATAGAATAATGTTGTCACGCCCTCGCTATCCTCATCCAAATAAGGGGAAGTCGGTGCTTTCGGTCAAATATCCGGGACATGCATTTGCATGTGTATTCTTAGGATAAGTTGAAATATACTGTAAAAAGTGCAGTTCCCTATGTATGCCCTCATTTCTAATCTGTGTATAAGTAGATGCATGTCTGCTGTTCAGGCTGTAGTGGTGTACTATTCACTAAAGAGTACAACCCTGTTTGAGCGTGTTCCTACGGCCTCATATCAGGCAACCTCGTATCGGATCCGCGTCGAACCGCACTAAAACGCATCCAACCGCAGTCGAACACACTAAAACGCATTTCACCACGAGAAGCTGATACAAGGTGTGTCTGATACAAGGTGTAGGAACACGCTCTTAGGCATACTTGTACACAAACTCATCCTAGTCAATACATTCCGCTCTGCTCTCTATCTTAACATGGTAACAAAGCCTAGGTTAGGTCCGACTACCGAACCTACTGTCGTACCTGCTGTCGCTCGCCCTGCTGCCGACACGCTGTCCTGCCCTGCACGCCATCGCGCTGCCCTGCCCAGCGCGCCAACACGCCACCCTGCCTAGCGCGCCTACGTGCTGCCCTGCCCAGCGCACCGCCGCACTGCCCTACCCCGCACGCCACCGCGCCGCCCTGCCCCACGCACCTGCGCGCTGCCCTGCCCAGCGCGCCGCCACGCTGCCCTGCCCCGCGTGCCTACACGCCGCCCTGCCATGTGCACCTACGCGCTGCCCTGCCCAGCGTGCCGCCGCGCCGCCCTGCACAGTGCACCACCGCGCTGCCCTGCCCCACGTGCCTACGCGCTGCTCTGCCCCGCTCGCCATCGCGCCGCCCTGTTTTGCGTGCCCTGCTGCCAGCGCGCCCCTGCCCTGCCCTGCCTGTGCTGCTAGCGTGCCCCCGCTGCCCCACGCGCATTGCCGCTGCTGCTGCTGCCAACTGCTACCGCCTGCAGCCGCCCTAGGTGCTGCCGCTAGCGGCTGCCACCCTTGCTGCCGCCTGTGCACGCTGCTACAGTTGCTGCCGCTCCTACCCCTGCCACTGCACCTGCCGTTGTAGCTACCGCCGCTGCAGTTGCTACTTGCGCCGCTACTGCTGAATGCCGCCACCTGTCTTGTCCAATATCACTATCCTAGCTGTTGACTCGGACGGGCGCCCTTTCGTGCTAGAGC